TGAGAGTGTCGGGCTTTGCTGTTTTATGGGTGCGGGCAGGTCTGACCTGCAGGTTGAAAGAGGCAGCGTTCAGGGTTTCAGGGCTTCAAGGTCGCTTCGGATCTAAGATTGATGGTGCAGTTGACTATTCGATCGTGCTTCTGTCACCATCTTTGGCTTTTTTGCCCCTGAGCCCGAAACCTGTTGTTCCCTGTCATTCCTGCCTTGATGGGTGCTGCAGCTTTGTAGGTCCTTATGCGGATTCCCAACATGGAACCCATGAAAAGCCTCACGTGAAGGATCATGCTAAGTACCTTAGCGGGAGTCATAAGTAGTTATAACTATAGTTACTTTATTTGTAAGCCTAGCTACTAAGTCTCATGATCCTTCACGTATCTTTATGCCATGACAGGAAAGTAGTGGGAGACCGTCTGGTGCTCATGACCTGCTTGTACTTGCCAAGGCCCCAACCCCTAAGCCCTAGACCCCTAAGCCACTAAGCTCCTAAACCGTGAACCCTAAACCCCTAAGCCCTAAAACCTAAACCCCTAAGCACTTAAAACCTAAGCCACTAAGCTCAAGCACTCAGAAGTGCAGTCGTTCCCTAAACTTCGATGCTGTTCCACGTCTCCTCTCACACCAGACCAGGGCCCCAATGTAGAGAAGTACGAAATGCCGACGAGTCTTGTTTAGGGTTTAAGGTTCAGGGGCGCCCTAAACCCTAAACCCAAAGACCTAAACCGTAATTCCTGAAATCAAAACCCTTCGATCCTAAGGCCTGGAACGGTGAACATCGCAAATGGCCAGGACAAAAATGAAAAAATAAGCAACGTCTGTATGACTCCCTTGTAATGGCCCTTATAGAACCCATGTAAGGACATCTTCGACCCTAAACCCTAAAGCCCAAACCTTTAGAGATATGGGGGCTTCCGAAAGTAGGGGACCCCAATATAGTAGCCTAAATAGTAGGAAGGACCCCAAATAAGGTACCCCTTATTCCCTTATTTTTCCGAAACTCCCATATGGAACCCTTTGTAATGAAACGGTGAAGCCTAGACTTCCAAAGCCCTCAACTCCTGACACACCCCTTTCAAGGACAACCTTAAACTACAGATCACCCCTACTGGGCCTCCTTGTCCAGTATTCCAGGGGAACTAAAGGTTATTCTTCGGGGCCTTAATGCACCAGAAAGGTTTAATGTTAATGTACGGGCGTTAATAGTTTCCTATACTACTTTGGGGGTTCCTTATTATAGTTATAATATAATAAACTACCCCAAACCCTTTTCTAAGTATGAAGGCCCTTCATTACCTCTACTACTCAGCATATTATACTATACTCATAGTAGGGAACCCCCTAGATAATATAGGTAACTATTAAGACCCCTATATTACTACTAAGTAGGGCTGCAACGGTCCGGAAAGCCGGTTGGGCTGTCACCAAGGCTCTTGCGCCTTGTTCTACGAAGCGGTTTCTTTCTGTTTCGGTTTCGGGTTCAGGGTGGTTTAGGGAGAAACCCCAAACCCTAAACCGTTTAGAGAGTTTAGGGTTCAGGGCTAGCATTTTCTGTGTGTTTAGGGTCGGGGTTCTTGACGGGCCTAGCTTGATGGGGTTTCATACGTGCTCTTCTGGTTTACGAGTTTCTTCAGGACCATTGTCCGGTCTGCTTGAAGGATTTACATCGCAAGTAGGTGGCATCTTGGAGTGTGGCTACCCTTCGTGTGGTTATCTTCAATGCAACCCCTCTTATGTTCAGTTGCTAAGTCGCGGATGCTCGACTTAAGACTTAAGACGTTGAGCCAGTTTAGCTTCTTGCGGCTTCGACTGGCTTCTTGTGCTTCTTGCCTTCTTTGTAATGCCTGGTTTGGATGAGGTTCGAAGACAACAAAAAGAATAAGGCATCCACTAGAGACTGCAAGGGGTCGTATTCCTGCTAATTCTTCAACATCTTATATGTTATGGCATTGTAATGGCTTCTGTTTCTTGAAGGCGCTTGGGTCGTAGTCTGTGCGTTGTGGCGAGGGTTCTGCCAGGTCAATGAAAGAGCTTACTGCCCCAATAAGCCAGGGAAATAGGGGTTTAGGGTTTTAGGGTTTAGGGTTTACGGGCTTACATCCCCAATAAGCCAGGGAAATAACAGGTTAAACTTTCGGTTTACTAATAAATGTTAAGAGCCCAAAAAGTTTAAAGGTTGGGTGTTGGGGAACTAAGGCCTTATCTGGGGATCGATACGAGATTGTTTCCCACCATTTGTAAGAAGCTCGAAGTTGTGGAGTTACCTACACCCTGCCACAAATTGGGGTAATATAGGGGCCTTAATTGTTAGAACAAGTTTTTTGGGGCTCATTTTATTTTACATAGAATAAGGAACCCCGAAAATAGTGTTGGTAATCATTTTGGCACCGTATATCCCTGTTTTCACCTACTCGCGAGGACATTGGGCCTGGCTACGCAGGGAACTGGGGATACCGGGTATCCCCACGCCGGAAAGAGCACCCCCCCTGTCCAAAACAACATCTGAACCACAGACCAAGTCATCATAATCGGGATACTGTAGGGGCCTTAAAAATTAGAATAGGGTTTTGGGGGATATTATACTATACTTATAACAAGGAGCCACCAAAATAGTATCGTTGATTATTTAGGCTTCTACAGTATATATTGAAGTAATGTGATGCTTTCCTTACTGTGGCACTCGGACTAGGTCCCTTAAGGCCGGCGCTGAGAGATCCAAGGTGCCAAATCCTGTTATGACTCTGCTTGAACTTCACCTGCAAGATCCCTATAGGTATAGTAGCCCAAGCTGCAGAGAGAGTCATGTGGTGCCACAAGCCATTGGCTATCAGTGGTTCGATTATCAAAGCTATATCCCTTCTTGAAACCCTCGCACATACTAGGTCACCACATCCTTTTAAAATGGGGCCCTGCCTCAGCTGGCGGGCCATCGCGACAGTCGACATGGCCTTGGCTGCTTTGAGCTTAAAGTTTATCATTCCTGCACCCGCCTGAACACCACATAACTTACCGCTTAACTCTGAAAGCACTATAAAATTTGGGCCTTAATAATTAGAATAGGGTTTTGGGGCCCGTTATACTATACTTATAATAAAGAACCCCAGAAGAGTATAGGAAATTACTTAAGGCCCCCTATAATATACAAGCAAATCACAACAAGGAACCTTGGATGTTTAGGTTTTGCAGGGTTCAGGGCCCTTCGGTTCAGGGCTATGTGCCTTTCCTGTAATTTAGGGTTTAGGGTTTGGGGTTTAGGGCTTAGGGCATTTCCTTTTCCAAGGTTAACAGTTCCAAGCTATGCTCAGTGTTTGAAGGTTTCTGCTGGTTTTAGGGGTTTAGAGTCCCCGCCGTCCCTTAAATCAAAGGGTGCAAAAGAACTACCAGGGCACCCCTGGATGACCTAAAGCGGCTTGAGCCCGCTTTCTTCTTGCCAACCACGGATTTGGGACTACAGGAAACATGGTTCCAAAGAAGCCCCGCCAAAGAAGGGTTTCCTATTTCCGATTGCGCAGTTTTAAACGGCATCCCCATAACAACAAAGGGAAAACAGACCCTGAGGCCATAAAGCTTAAAAGCCAACAACAGAAACCCCACATCTCAAAGCCCTTCCCGAATTGGGGGAGGCCCCCAGCACGAGAGTTCTTGATATTGGTTGTATCATAGAAGTATTTGAAAACCTTTCTATTTGAAAACCTTGATAGAACACCGTTCTCCGTCGTGGTCACTCTTAGTAGGTTGACCTAAGCCACAAACCTCCCCAACCCCCTAAACGCTGAGCAAGCGCGAAGAAGCGCAGGCGGAAGCGGCACGAAGGATGAAATGGGTTTTGATTGCTTGAGCCAGCCCTGCTAGAGACCTTAATTTAGGGGCCTTAACGGGCTTACCCTAAACCCCTTAAACCTAACGGGTTTAATATAGGGTTAGATTTCGTACATTTCTGAAAAGGGCTGACATCGACTTTCACCGGATTAATTTGGGGTTACCTCTCGGACCGGATGTTGTGCAGCCTCTGCATCTAGCTTGGGGAACGTTTTCAATAGGATTTAGAAAACCTTATGGTACAGTTTTTGTTATGGCAATCTAAACCCTAAACCCTAAACCTCATGGTATAGTTTTTGTTATGGCAATCTTAAAGGGATCGCTTCGCCGTCCTTTCTGGATATCTTGAAAGGCTGCTTGGGTTTCGCACAGGGCCTCGATATTACAACAATTAGGCGAGGGGTCTCACGGGGTTTCAGAAGTTCACAGGGCTTAATGTAGGGGCCTTAATGATTAGAATAGGGTTTTGGGGCCCAATATACTATAATTACTATGAGGCACCAGCAAAATAGTATTGGTAATCCCTTATATTCTGCATAGGTGAAGAACATCTGGAGCCCCAAAAATTCAGTTGAACCCCAAACATCGAAATCCAACCCACCCTCAACACCATACTTGTGAACCCTAAGCCCTAACCCTAAACCCTAACCCTAAACCCAATGCGCTAAACCCCAAGCTCCCTGCGGCTTCACAGCCGTTTAGGGTTTCGGCCAGGTTGCCCCAGCAACTCCGTCGAAAGAAGGGTATTGCCACTAGGGAGACCGCAAAAACATAATATAGGTGCCTTAATAACTCGATTGGGGTTTTGGGGCCCATTACACTATAATTATAATCATGAACCCCCAAAATTATAGAGGTAATTATTAAGGCCCCTGTATTAGAGAGGTCTCCTACCAGTCCGCCGGTGGGAAGCTGGTAGGAATTACCTGGCCGGTCTTCCCACCAAGATCCCTGCAGGATCCTCGGGCTGAAGCAATATAGCGGTCGAAAATACAATCAATACTATTTTGGGGGTACCTTAGGCTAGGTATAGTAGAATGTGCCCCAAAACCCTATTCTAATTATTAAGGCCCCTACATTAGGCTAAACAAGCTCTCCATCATTGCCATTGTCATCTGTCCCATCGTCATGGTCAGGTGAACATGATGCACATCTACTCCCGAAGTCCCTGACACACACCAACAGGCCTCTAAGACGGGATAGTCGGTAGCCAGAGCCTGCAACCGGATAAGGTAGCGTCCCGCATTCGCAGAAGTGGGGGAGGCTATTGAGGATAATATAGGGGCCTTAATTGTAAGAATAGAGTTTTGGGGCATATTATACTATTATAAGTATAAAAAGGAAGCCACTCAACAAAACCTATATTAGTAGACAAAGCCCTGCCTGAAGTAGGGAATACTCAGGTCAACTCTAGGGCTCGCTGCCATAGCTGCTTGAAGCAAGACACAAAACTCAATAATGTGCGGGCCTATAAAATTACCCATGCTATTCTGGGTGTTCCTTATTATCATTCTACCGTCATGGGCCCCAAAACCCTATTCTAATCATTAAGGCTCTTGTAATAATCAATCCATACGCAGGTTGGCTAAACAAACATGTAGGACCAAGGTCCCGTCATTATCAGCACGCTTCCCACAGCCCGTGTTGTCCGTATTGCTGCTACGGCATGTTGATTCTGTTCTGCTGCAGCTCAAGATCAGGGTACCGCTTGCGTGCTCACTCGAGACCCCGACAGCCCCCATCGAGAAACATGCTTCAACGCTATACTACTAGGGGTTTCATTGCACTGCATTCGAAAATGGGGATGACTTAAAATGATGGGTACTTCTACATTTGGGCCCTTCAGTTACTAAAGCTCGCATAAGCGCAGCCAAGATAGGGGCGGGAATCGTTAACCCACGTTAGTCATAGCAGGGAACACCAAAGATCCAGCCCACCAGCCCGCCTGCAGTGCATCTCAAAGCCATTTCAGGCCCCTAAAGCCTAAACCACCGATACAGTGTAAGAATCGCCAGAAACATCGAAGTTTTGCAGACCTCAACTACAGCCATAACCTTCTAGACGCAAAGCCCAACATCCTTGAGCCCTAAGACCTAACACCGGAAACCTTAAAACCCCAAACATCAAATGCCAACTGGGAGTTTCCGAAAATTAGGGGTACCTTATTTTGGGGGTCCTTATAATAAGGATCCTAGTATTTAGGGTACTATATTAGGGTCCCCTATTTTCGGAAATCCCCCAACTCAAGAAAACCCCAAAAAGCCTTTGGAACCGCCTGCAACACCCTGATATAGGGGCCCATATTGGACTAGGGTTTTAGGGTTTTCGGGGTCTACACTAAACCCTAAACCCTAAACCCTAAACCCTAAACCCTAAACCCTAGAGTCTACACAAAAATACACCGGCACCATAGGGGACACCAGTCATTATTCCGACCTCCAGCTATAGAACCCCCCACCCCGAAGGAACCCTGGGAGGATCCAAAAAAGTATCCGTCAGTGGGATTCCAACCCTAAACCCTAAACCCTAAACCCTAAACCCTAAACCCTAAACCCTAAAACCCCTTATCAAGTACCCTTTTAGTATCAAGTTTGGGGATGGAGGGTCTGGGCCTGGGCCAAAGCCCCGAACCACCCCGAAGGCCAGGCCCTAAACCCCTAAACCCGAAAGCAGTACATCCGATAGAAAGGGTTTAGGGTTTAGGGTTTAGGGTTTAAGGCCCCGAAACACCCCAAGGGCCTCGAGTTGGGCCATTCGCTTCTCAAGAGGCTTTTCATTGCTGTCCTCGGGGGTGACCTGGTCTTACGGCTTATCCATCAAGGGCTCTATTGCGGGGTTCAGTTTACAAGGGATCAAAAGGGGTTGGGAATGAAAGAGATCCATACGAGGCTACAGGGGTTCCAGAAAGGTGTTCTATTTACGACGGATCTATAAGGGATCAAAGAGGTTAGGGTTTAGGGCATACTTGGAGGGTCGGGGAACTTCGTGAGTGGTAGTGGGTCAAAGGACTCGACAAAGTACTATCCCGGATTTTTCAAGTAGGAAGGATTAGAATCGGCTTTTAGGGTATGCTGTCAGAAAGTCATGCCAGGTAAGCCTAAGGAAAGCATTTAACCAATCAGTAAGCCCCGGTATTAATGTGGAACCGGAAAGATTGGGATCCCGACTATAAGGCTCCTGACGAGCTGCTGATGATATAAACCTTGCATTACCCATAATGAGAATATACCATAATTTCCATAGTTTTAGGGTCCTTGAGGTAAGCCGAAGCACTCTTACACCCTTAGGCCAGATTCCATAAAGCTCATAGGAGCGCGGTCTCAACACTTGGTAATAGTCCCACCTTGGAGCCCCTGCTTGGAGGATCATGGGACGTAGCAATTAAGTTTAGGGTTTAGGGTTTAGGGTTTAGGGTTTAGGGTTTAGGGTTTAGGGTAGCAATTAAGTTTATAAGTGCCCTGATTGGAGTTTATAAGCAATTACATCGAGAATTAGTTTCCTTTGTCCCATGATCTTCCAAGTATAGAGCATCCCTAAACCCTAAACCCCAAACCCTGCCACTCTAACCCCCTAAACCCTGAACCACGGTTGTTGCATCTTGCACGTTGCCATCATGCCTATCTAGGCCCTTCTTGGAGGATCGTGGGACTTAGTAACTAGGGTTATAAAAAGGGAACTAGAGTTTCAACCACTTCTAATTCCAAATAATGCCCTTGCTGCCCGACTCACCAAGTCCCGTGATCCTCCAAGTACTGCCTTCACCCTGCAGCCCGTAAATCCCAAACCCAAAACCCTAAACCCCAAACCCTAGGCCCTAAACCCAAAACCCAAAGCCCAAACCCTAGGCCCAAAACCCAAAACCCAAAGCCCAAAACCCTCTAAACCCAGAACCCTTCAACGGCAGTTAGAGCCAGGGCTTGGGGGTGAGGGTTTGGGGGTTTAGGGTGATATAGGGGCCTTGATAATTCGACTATAGGGTTCCTGTATAGGGCTCCTTAAAGGGTTCTATAAGGGGTCTATAACAGGACTCTATGGTATAGGGGCCGAAATAATTAGAATAGGGTTCAGGGACCCAGTATAGTATACTTATAATAGGGAATCCCCAAAATAGTATTAGTACCCCGATACTATAAGGTTTGAGGGTTCAGGGGTTTGGGGGTTCGGAGGTTTGAGGGTTTACAGGTCCAGGGCTTTAGCGTGTAGTGGTCTAGGGCTTCAAGCTTTGAAGCTTCCACAACTTCAGTGCCTACAGGGCTCTTGGAATTAAACTCCAACTCCCCAGGTCTACGCCTCAGCCGCGCAACCTTGAACCAAGAATTCCAACCCGCCGACACCCCGCAAAACACCAAACCCGGTGGGAGGGTTTAGGGTTTAGGGTTTAGAGTCTTTTCACTAGTGACTTCAATAAAGCAAAACCCCGACAAAGTTCCAAGCTGGATTTCCATCGACCAACCATGGAAGCCCGAAAAAATACATGTATCCAATTAAGGTACTCATAACCTTCATTACTAAGTCCCCTGATCTTCATGTGACCAAAACCATCCAAAACCCTAAGCCCCTATAGTACCCCTATAGATCCCTTCGAGGGCCCCTTATAATCCATTACTATGTCCCATGATCCTCCAAGTAGCCTAGACCGTGAACCCTACACCTTATAGTACCCCCCTATAGATCCCATAAAGGGCCCCTTATGACCCTTACTTACTACGTCGACCGTGAACCCTACACCTTACAGTGCCCCAATAGATCCCATAAAGGGCCCTTATGACCCTTCCTTACTACCTTATAGTGCCCAAATAGATCCCATAAAGGCCCCTTATGACCCTCACTTACTACGTCCCATGATCCTCCTGGCTCTTCGGCCTCCCGAAGGGTGCAGGTCACCAGCTCGCGCTGCTGCTGGAGTACTTGGTGAAGCCTGCAGAGAGGATACTAGCAACAAGCATAGATAGATAGATATATATATATATATAATGTGTATACACACGCTATACTATTCAGAAGATTTTAGGTAATTATAAAACTGATGTTATACTTATTAGGAACTGCGGGTTTTGGGATTAGGGCCTACGGCCTACAGAGACAGGTAAATTATAGGAATTGTCATAGGCTGCTCAAGGTTTCATGGGTGTCTTGAGCAGTGTGCAAGACTTTCCGTACGGTCTTACCAGGCATTTGTGGAAGCTTTATCCTAGTCTGAATCCTTTACTAATCCACTAAAAAACCAACAAAAACCAAACCCCTAAACCCTAAACCCCTAAACCTCTAAACCCCTAGATGGGGCAGTTGGTGAAGCTTGCAGCAACGCAGCAAGAGAGTCGATAAGGAACATTCCGGGGGTGCAGGTAATGTAGGGGCCTTAATAATTAGAATAGGACTTTGGGGAATACTATACTATAATTATAATACGGAACCACCCAAAATAGTATCGGTAATTAATTATTAAGGCCACCGATATTAACCTTTAACATTCCCATTATACTATAATGATAATACGGAACCCCAAAATAGTATCGGCCCCTAGAATTATCCCTAAACCCCAAACCCTGAACCCTAAATACTATATTTCCCAGAGAACCCAGAGACCCAATGGGTTTAGGGTCGAGGGTTTAAGTTTCAGGGTCTAAGGTTTACTGCTTGGGGTGACAGCAGCTCCTTTCCAACCGCTGTCTTACTTGCTTCCCTGTCTCCTGATCCCATCATAGGCTCCAGGTTCAATTGCCCAGGGTTTGGAGAATGGTTCGGAGGGGTTTAGGGTTTAGTGTTGAGGGGGGCGTACAAGCGCCGAGTACCGGCAGCAGATTTGAAGACGTCGGCGCGTCTAACTCCTAACCTGCGAACACTGGATCCTGGACTCGACAACCGAGAACTTGTAACATCCCTTAATTAAGGAATATACCTTAGATTATAATAAAATCCTTCACATGATTAAAGTATATTCCTTAATTAAGGGATTCTGGAAGGTCTGGGAACCATTGAACGTTGATTCCCAGACAGAAAAGTCCAAACCCTAAACTCTCTTCTTCAACAACCAGGCCCAAACAAGTTCAAATTTTTTAGGATAGACCAAATATATAAGGCCAAAAAGTTTAAAGTTCCCCTATTGGCTAACTAAGTAAACCCCTGAACTCCTAAACTCGAGAGGTGGCCTGCTAAAGTCTGCAAAGTCTGCTGTATTTGCAGCAGCCGCACACCTAAGCTTGCCGGGGGATATGGGTAGTTCCAAGGATACCATAAGCTCGCTCTAAGGGTCCTATAGGGTTTGAGGGTTTAGGCTGGATATGATGTATAATTCTAGTTACGAAGTCCCATGACCCTCTAGTCGTGTAGTTCTAAGGGTACCATAAGGCTGCAATGAGGGAATAAGGGTACTGTAGGGGTACTACAAGGGCGGCTGAACCTGAAGGGCTTAGGCTTTATACCTAGGAGGGTTTCCGGGGATACTCATAGTCAAAATGTCAAGCACAATAACAAGATTTGAATTAACACGGCGGTGGTAGGAAAGTGGTAATGAGAAAAAGCAGCAAATGCCCACAAGAAACAGTCTTATCCCCAGGGATTGAAATATACCATGGACAGTCTGTCAAACCCAGAGAGCTGCAGTATGCCTTGGCATAAACATAAAATAACAATGCACGCACCACTGCTCACATACACTTCGTAGAAGCCATAATGCTAGTGGGTCCGGAATTAGTCTTGACATGTTGCACGTTTGGGGGGTGCCTTTGTTGCTTTTTCTGGTTTCCTAGTGTCGCTTGCTTGGAAATCGATGACAGGACTGTCGGTGCAGCGGAATCGATGGCCCTCTCCGCGCTTCCGCGTGCTTGTGACGGTCTCGCTGACGGCAATTTGGACCGAGACTTCTCCTATAGCAACCGCACAGCAATCCCGGAAACGTGCGCCCCTTAACAGGCACGCAATATTACCCACAGGGCCGCGGGCTCATGCGCTTCTTTGAGCCCTCCCTGCCAGCGAAAAGCAACACGTGGTTGAGGGTGTTAGGGCTGTAATGTAGGGGCCTTAATAGGGATTTGGGGGGTTCTTTATTATTAACTCAGTTTACCATACCCCCAAACCCTATTCTATCCATTCAGGTCCCTACAGTAGGGTTTCGGTGTTTTGGGGTTCATGGCTTAAGGCTTGAGGGATCAAGGGTTTTAGGCTTTCAGGGTGTCGAGTGTTTGGGGTTTCAAAGGTTGAGTTTCGCTATCTACACAGGGAAGCTGAGGTATTTCGCTGAACGTAAGTTCCTCAACAAGATTCCAGTTTCGGGTCTTGGGCTGACGGTTTAGGCTTAGTAAGTCAGCCTTCAAATACAGATAATGCGAGTCATCCTTGTCGAGACCCCTGCCCACCCAAAACACCGAAGGAAAACACCGACGGACACAAGATACAACCGCGCCAAAAAGTTCGGGACTTGAAACTGTACAGTAAAAGCCTTAACAGTATGGTGAAGAGGCAAAAACATTTGGCAAACAATGCCTATGACCACAGAGCCCAATACCCATAAAATAAAGGCTATTCTGGAGTTTGAATTACCGACTTTGTATAGTTTCGAAGCCCGAAGTTCCTTTTAACACCTGAACAAGCTCTATAACCTCCCTGAACAAAAAGTTCAAGCCGTATAAATACCCGCCCCTGACGCGATGAATAAAATTGTCCATTTTTAATCCTTACTGGGTTTTATTACACCAAAAATGCAAAAACCCGAAACCCTAAACCATAGTTGTATCCAACAAGGACCCAAGAACCCCAAAACACCTTCGCAACAAAACTCAACCTGAGCCCACGCCCTGAACCCGAAGCCTTTCTGTCACATATATGTATACACACACACACATAGAGACTTACTCGTATATACTTTTACTGTACATACCTTTACGTATGTACGTGAAAAAAAAATATATATATATATAATATGTATATAGTATGTATATATGCATATGTGTTTTTAAAGTCCTAAAGCCCTGGATGCGAATGGAACTCCGTTCCCGAAGGAGGCCTCGAGTTGCCGCAGGGCCTGGACGGTGTAGGGTTCAGAGGGTTAGGGTTTAGGGTTTAGGGTTTAGGGTTTAGGGTTTAGGGTTTAGGGTTTAGGGTTTAGGGATCAGACTTCGTGCTCTTTTCGGGAGAGGGGATGCGGGTCTAAAGAACCTACTTGTTCAGGGTTCCTTCTTATGATGTCTTTATATAAGTCCTGAAACAGGTGGGTTATTGGGGGTTCAGGAAGTGGTCATCCATGTAATGTTGTGGGTTTGGGGCTTAGGGTTCGGCAGTTGTGCTCTTTTTCGGTGACAGATCTTGACTGGGGCTCCTCAACGGGTTCCTTTAAAGAGTTCTCCAGAGAAAAATCAGAGTAGACATTTGGGGTATGTAACACCATGTTTGTATCCGGGAGAGCAAGGAAGACCATTCTAATAAACTAAGGCACCTATACGGGTGGTTGTCAAAATTATGGTCCCTTTTTGGGTCCTTATTACAATACGGCACCTATTATTTAGGGTGCCCCAAAAGGCACCAGAATTTTGACAACTACACATGTAGCACCTAGAGCCAAAACCCAAAGCCCCTAAACCCTAAACACGTAGTCCCCAAGTCGCCCGTTTAACCAGGCAGGCCTTTGGCCTTCTCTTCAGTTTCGAGAAAACACCAAGAAAAAACGTGGACTACTGGGTTTAGGGTTTAAGGGAGAAATTAGGGGTTTGGGGTTTAGGGTTCAGGGTTTTCGGCCTAGAAAAACAGCTTATATTGTTGTGTTCAAGTCTTGTGGCTGCCTACATTTCGCTTGTTGGACCTGTAGAATGTTTGCGCTGAGGGCTCGGGGATTAGTCGCCCACAAACCGGAGTCGATATGCTACAACTAGTTCAGGGTTTAAGGGTTTGGGGCTCATGCACTCCCCAGACGAAGCCGTAGAGCATTCTGTCAGGGCGCGTGGAGGGCGCTTGCCATCCCGGGACCTGATCCACGCAAGGCTGCAGGGGGGCCAGTCGGCGTGGGCTTGAACAAGGCGCCATGAGAAGGCAGTCTTTCCGGGAGCATTCCAGGAGGGGAATGCACATGTTGATGGGCCTGATGGGCTGTCAGTGTCTGGGTTCGCCTTTGTCGGGGTATCTGCGGGGCAAGAAAGCTGCATTCGACCGGGACGTGCCGGAAGCCTGTCGGGTGTATCACAGTAGACTCCGGCAGGAGCCGCCCGCCCTTGCTTGGCAGAGGCAGCAGTTGCCCAGCGGGCAGACGTCAGGAATGCCAATGGTGGTTCCAGGCCAAGGTGAAAGGATATATGAGCAGACCAGGCTCAGCAGGGCGTCGATACCGAGCCACTTTAAGAAGGGGTTTTGCTGTTTCTGTATCGGATGACTAGTCCTTAGGGCGTTAGGGTTCCCTGCATAATTTTAATTATCCCAAGAACTCGCCGAATCCCGAACTTAACGATTGGCCTCTATTTTAAGCCCTAAGCACTTCAGTAGTATGCCAGAAATGCACAAAACCCAAAGCCTCAAGAGCTACATGAAGGGTACTTACCGACAACAGAGCATACCCGAGAAGCCCTTGCCCCTGAATTAAGCCCTGATTTTCCGGTTACTTGCAACAGTTCTACTCTTCCAGTTCCATGGGCTTCATCATTTTGTACAGGGCTCAATCCCCCCCACCTCACGAGCTAAGCAGCTGAGCAAGACATATATTTTTTGGAGATGCCTAAGAAACCATAAGCCACCAAACATGCAGCAACCCTAAGCCCTAAACCCTAAACCCTAAACCCTAAACCCATGAGTCGCATAGGTTTAGGGCCACTACTTTGCTGTAACGGGTATCAGCGACTAATTCACACCGACTTCGGGGCCCTGAGAAAGTTTAAACCTGCGGGGTTCATGGCGTCAATAAGGTTTAGGGTTTAGGGTTTAGGGTTTAGGGTTTAGGGTTTAGGGTTTAGGGTTCAGGTGCCATGCAAATCAAAAACCCTCAACCCTGAACCCTAGGGCTCCTCAGGTCTGCAATGGTCTACGCATGACGCCCTCGTTGCGAGTGGACCCCGAGACATAGGTTCCGCGCCTGTAAGCATCGAGCCAACCTGCGTGCGACGTAATATAGGGGCCCTAGTGATTTACCTACATTATTTTTGGGGGTTCCTTATTTTGATTATAGCATTATATACCCCCAAACCCTATTCTAACTATTAAGGCCCCTACATTACGGGTTGCAACCAGGGCTCCCATTGGTTCCATCTTTCTACACGTCCGTCTTTCCGCCCAGTTCTCCTGTTCTCTGAACGTCAATGTTGCACACTCGGTGCGGTGGATTAGGATGCGCCCAAAAATCCAGTAAGGTACGGTGTACAGTTTACACGAACTATAGCCTTATTTACCACAAAGCCGAGCCCTCCATAATCAAACGGTATATTCCGATATTCCTTAAGTAGTTTGGACTCTTTGAGTATGCCCCCGCTCTGCCAAGAATTTCAAGATTGGACACAGGCCGGTGCCTAACGTAGGGGAACCGGAGCGTATTCTCATGTACCTAGTCAGTACTCTTGGCATTTCTCCAGGCTTGACCTTGGTGTATATGGGAGTTTCCAAAATTAGGGTACCGGGTACCTTATTTTGGGGTCCTTATAATAAGGGTCCTACTATTTAGGGTACTATATTAGGGTCCCCTATTTTCGGAAACTCCCATATAGAGCTTCTAGTACTTCCAATACGCGGCACGTGAGCCAAGATAGCGGCATTGATCACCGGAACAGCAGCTTTGGCCTACAGTATACTGCACAATGACATAAATCTGTCAAGGAATCCTAAGCTAAACCCTAAACCCTAAACCCTAAACCCTAAACCCTGATACCATGGGCAATTGCTCAGTGCCGTCCGTTCTACTGGGATGCCGGGCCGGGGTTGTGGGCTGAGGTGGTCCCAACATGTGCGCGTGCAGAGTTGCTGGTCCAGTTTCCTGTGGTGCTCAAGCAGGTACTAAACCCTAAACCCTGAACCCCTAAACCCCTTAACCCTAAATTCCTAAACCTAAACCTAAACCCTGAACCCCTAAACCCCTAAACCTCTAAACCCTTTATGGCCTGATTATATACAATCTGTGCAGATGGAGCCTCAAGTTCTAAACCCTGGAATAGAACGCTAGGCTCACAGCTTCGAGGGTTTGAGGGTTCAGGGCTTCGGGTTTAGGGTTCAGGGTTCTACCCTAAACCCTAGAGGCTCCGAGTTTCTGAACCTCTGGGCTTTACTGAGTGAGTACAGAAGAGCTTCTAGAGGCCCGGACTCCACTTGCTGAGATCTCCTGCGATCCCGATTTAGGGGCTTGGGGTTTAGGGCCCAACCCTTTGATTCATCTTGCTCTCGCCAACACCAACGACGGGGGCTGCGGCTTTCACCGGAGGCTTATCGCAAGAACGATCAGCGGTCGCAGGCACGACAGGTAGCTTCTGTACCATAAGTTTCTTTTACCTAGCTGCAGGACTTTCCGTACTCTGCTTTGACCGCGAAATGGCGGAATAACTTATCGGATCATGTGGCTCAGTAACTAGGGCTATAGATAGGGTAACCATAGTTGTAATTACTTATAGCCCCAATCAGTGTACGAATAACCTTACTTACCAAGTCCCCTGATCCTCCAAGTAGCAATCAGTTGATGCACGGCCCGTCGGCATGAAAGCCGGACGGCGCATCCCCCGCGCAGGAATTCGCAGTTATTCACGAGGGCTAAAAAGTAGGACAAGCCTGAAAGAGTCCGATTAGGGCACTTACCACTCTACTTTGACAAGTACGCCTTACAGTGCCAGAAACCGTTGTAAACCTTCTGAAACGCTTCCAGGTGTTTCCATGAACTTCTACACCAGCAAACCCTTCAAACCCATGCACTACTCCTCGAAGCCCTGAACCCTAAACTCTAAACCCAAACTACAACACCCTAGACTCCACCTCCGAAGCCAAAGCCCCGTCCACGGCCACTCCCTCACTGAATTAGGAAAAGGGGCGGAGGCTTAGGGAATGTGGGGTTTCGGATTTTTGTCTGTAAGGGTTTCGAGTTTAGAGGTTTACCCCTAAACCCTAAACCCTAAACCCAAAACCCCTAAACCCCACACCCTAAACCCCTAACCCCCAAAGCCCTAAACCCCTAAACCCTTTAGGGTTTAAGGTTGAAGCTTCCAGCCTCAGAGAATCCCCTTCCTCAGCAGGGGCCGCTGGAGACTCAGATACGGCGTTGCGCGACTCCTGCATGGGGTTTAAGGCTTTGGCGTTTAGGGTTTAGGGTTGGGGGTTTATAAGGCTGTGGCATTTAGGGTTCAGGGTTGGGGTGTTAAGGCTTATAGGTATTTAGGGTTTAGGGTTGGGGTTTTAAGGGTTTGGTATTTAGGGTTCAGGGTTGGGGTTTAAGGCTTTTGGGGTTTAGGGTCTAGGGATCAGGGTTGGCGTTTAAGGCTTTTAGTTTGGGTGTACGGTTCAATAGTGTTGGGGATAGGGCGGCGGGTACAGGGGCTTTGGGGCTTAGAGTCTTTTTGTGCGTCCATCTGCCTAAGCCTTAGACCCTAAGCCTCTGAAGCCCTAACTCCTAAACCCCTAGCCGCTTAAACTTCCTCATCCCAAAGGCCCAAAAACTCGATGCAGTGAAAGCATCCAAGGCACCGACAAGAGATGCTTTTCGGTTTGTGAAGGGGCCCATGAAGAAGGAATGGTTCGGGGTTTAGCTGACATGTCGAGGATCCTAGAGGATTCAGAGGCTACCCTTTGGGATTATATAGGGATTATAATACCCCTTGCCAGAAAGGTTCAAGTAAAGGTTACCGACTCTACTACTAGGTCAGGGCTCTTAGCAACTCGGGTTATACATAAGGTGGCTATAGCTATAATTACATATAACGCCAATTATGGTACTTATAACCTTACTTACTAAGTCCCATGATCCTCTAAGTAGGTTTCAAGATTGAGCCTGCTAAGTTTGTAACCCTGATAACCCTAAACCCTAATAACCCTAAACCCTAAACCCTAATCCTTAAACTCAAAGCAGGTTGGTTTCAAGCGTTTCGTATTCTTGGCAGCTTCGAGGAGAAGCTTCTGGTGTAAGGTCTTTAGCCGGGCACTGGGTGGAGCTAGTATCTCAGGTTGTATCGTTTCACGTTTTTTTGGGTTCTACTGTTTCGTCATACATCTCTTGTAGGGAACCACCAGGGGATACTTAGAGGAGTTATTGCGACCTCTACATCATGGCCTGTAGGGTGAGTTTAGGATCGATTTCGCCTCTATGGGGGTTTCAGGGCTTTGGGTGTTTTTGGGAAAGAGGATTTAGGATTTAGGCTGTATTTCAATGCTGAGAGCATGAGTGGCGACGAACTGTCGTGGCCAGACCTGTTGTCGAGGCTTTCTGGAACCCGGAACCCTACACCCTAAACTCTACGGATGTGAAGCCCTCGTCCCTTGCTTTGAAGTCGAAATGATGTAAAGCTTATACAAAGGAACCTATGCACGCAAGTCCGCCTGCAGCTGTAGGCGCGCTCATGATGTAATGTATCCTCAACCCTGAAACCTCAACCGAAACCCTAAACCCTAAACCCTAAACCCTAAATCCTAAACCCTAAACCCTAAACCCTAACCCTGAATTCTTGACCTGTGCCGGGGACTCCTGCGGCCCTGAGTCAGAGACCTCGGCGGGCGTCTTCTTGTTGAACGCCTCGAAGTCATACTCCGCCTCAAGCTCCTGCGTCCGCTTCCCCTGAAAAGTTGTACCCTCAGTCAAAGGCCTCTTCGCCTTAAGTTCCTTAAACCTTCATATTATAGTATAAACAATATGTATACAGTAGCTGTGTGAGTGTTGCAAATATAATGGAAATGGATACTAATGATTCGAGCTGGAAGCCTTGACCGCTGGACGATCTTAGATACATTGGGAGCCTGAAGAATGCCACTATCACCTGTTCAGGTATCTGTGTATCTGTTCTCTACTCGAGGCAAGCCAAACCCTAAGCTGTCTTTTCTTAAGTCCCAAGACCACTTTGGTTTTAGGAGTACCTGCTACCTGTGGGCTCCGACAAGTGAAAGGCAACACCGCAAACGCTCAACATCCGAAGTGCATGTGAATCCCGCTGGCAGGGGAAGCATGGGGAGCTCAGCTCTCTTCAACGAAGGGAGGCCTCAAAAGGTGGAATGAAGGTAGGTTGGATGAAGGATCCCTTACATAAGGCCTCATATTTTGGGATTATCGACACCGACCTAGATTCATCCCACCCTTGGGGCCTTGTTTTGATCCCTAAAACCCTTAACCCTAAATCCTTCAAAGCACTCATTTTCATGGGAGCTTGCTGCCATGAGGATCCCAAAGGGAGCACTTGGAGGATTATCGGACTTAGTAACTAGGGCTTGAGGGTCCCTGTAAGGGATCTTTACGGGTGCTATAGTTACTAAGCCCCATTATCCTCCAAGCACGAATTCCGAGCAGCCTCTTTTCCAAACCCAAGCCGTAAAACTTCAGCCGGCTCTCCTGGCCGTCGTCTTGGACCTCCGTTGTGATGGGTGAAGAGTAATGTAGGGACCTATCTGCGTTTGGGGGGTTCCTTTTCATAGTTATAGTATAATATACCCCAAGCCCTATTCTAAATATTAAAGCCCCTACTAAACCCTAAACCCCCCCAAACCCTGAACCCAGGGTTTAAGGGCTTAGGGGTTTATTTAAGGGTTTAGGGGCTTGTGAAGGTCTGACATACGAAATCAGGTGGGCGTTTGTCAAAATTATGGTCCCTTTTTGGGGTCCTTATTAGAATACGGCACCTATTATTTAGGGTACCCCAAAAGGGACCATAATTTTGACAACTACCCAGGTGACTTTGGGGTTCCCCTCGACAGGTCTGCCTGTGCCTTGCGGTAGCTTCTCTCGCTGCGAAGGTCAGAAGAAAGTGCAGGTGACTTGAAGAAGCCGAGACTTCATAAGTAGGTGATTACTGAGGAGGCAAGTGCTCTGATTGGGGCTCGTCCAGGTAATATAGGGGCCTTAACAATTCGAATAGGGCTTTGGGGCCCAGTATACTGTAATCATAATAAGGAAACCCCCAATATGGCAGAGGTATAACCCTAAACCCTTTTCTGAGTGTCACGATGCTTTCTGATGTCGTCAACCAAGTCATCGCCTCCTGGTTTCTCGAGCTCATCATAAACATCATCGTCAGCCTCGTCGTTCTTGCTCTGTTTCTTGCCCTTGCCGTCGGTGCTGCAACTGCACTTCCGAGTGCTGAGGTCTGCTTCCCTTTTTTGTCGGCGTTGGTTTGGGAGGTGTTGGCTTCAGGACTCCTAGCATAGACCCTCCTGAAGCTGCGCCTAAGTCTCGTGAATCCTGCTACACGTACCCTAAATCTTTAACCGTAACTCTGCACGAATCTCTGGGCCTTACACTCCGAGGCTGAACCTCTAGAGCTGATCGCTACTGGTCGATTCTGGGCTTAAGCTTACGATTCAAGTGCGAATGGAAATTGCAACACAATCAGGGTCGGGGTTTGCAAACTCCCAGGAGATGTTGCTTAGAGGATCATGGGACTTCGCAGCTAGGGGGTATAACCAAAGCTAGCTGTAGTTGTACTTGCTTCTAACTCCAATTAAGGTTCGCGCAACCATGCTTACTATGTCCCATGATCCTCCAAGTACCCTAATACCTAAACCCTCATAGTACGCAGATAGACCCTTGAAAGAGACCCATACTTGCTAAGTCTCATGATCCTCCAATCACAGAGGTGGTATGCCTGTCCCACTCATAAGGTGCAAGCCTCCAAGCAAGTCTCTAAGCTCGTAGTAGTAGTAGTAGTAGTAGTAGTAGTAGCAATGATATTGCGCAGCCTGCTTTTCTCAGGCATCGGCTAGATGGCACCAGCTTGCCGAAGCAAGCGAACAACCATGAAGTGCCCATTAGAGGATGCCAGCAACCGGGCTGTCATGCCATCATGGCTGCAGCAATCTTTATCAGCACCGGCTTCGAGTAGCAAGCGTGCAACATCCACGTAGCCGCTGCCCGACGCCAGCATAAGGGCTGTCCTGTCTTCATGGTCCCGGCAATCCTTCTCAGCACCAGCTTGGACCAAGAAACGTGCGCTCTCCAAGCGACCCCTCAGAGCCACGAGCATCAGAGCTGTCCTACCCTGATTGTCCCCGCAGTCTCTGTCAGCACCAGCTTCGAGCAGCAAACGTGCACTGTCCAAGCGACCCGTCAAACATACACGCATGAGGGCTGTCTTACCGTCATTGTCACGGCAGTCTTTATCAGCACCAGCTTTCAGCATCAAAACGGCAACTCCCAGGTAACCTTTCAGAGATGCATGCATAAGGGCTGTCGTTCCGTCGTTGTCACGGCAGTCTTTTTCAACACCAGCTTCCAACAGCAAACGTGCAACTTGAAAGTGACCACTCGCACATGCGAACAGCAGGGCTGTCCTGCTGCTGTCGTCTCGGCACTCTGCATCGGCACCAGCTTGAAGCATCAGATCTGTAGCCTCCAGGTGGCCATGAAGAGCTGCCAGCATGAGGGCTGTCATGCCGCTATGGTCCCAACAGTCTCTAGCAGCCCCAGCCTCCAGAAGTGAGCGCGCAACCTCCACGCGACCAAACACCGATGCAGTCATAAGGGCCGTCATACCGTCGTTGCCCCAGCAGTCTTTGCGTGCCCCAGCTTGCATGAGCAAATGCGCGACCTCCCGGCGACCCTGGAGGGCCGCGTGCATCAGGGCTGTCCTGCCGTCGTGGTCCCATGGGGTTTAGGGTTTAGGGTTTAGGGTTTAGGGCACCAGCTTCCAGAAGAAAACGTGCAGCCTCCAAGCAACCGGAAGAAGATGCATGCATTAGGGCTGTCCTGCCGTCACAGCCAGAAGAATCTTTGTCGATGCCAGCTTCCAGCAAGCGCTGGAGCACTCCCACGCGGTTCCGTTGCGCAGCATCTTTCATATCCGCTTGGGCGAATCGTAACGCAGCATTTTGAGAATCTGAAACTCCGGAGAGGGAGAGCAGCACCAAATGCAGATTCATCGAGGCATCGAGCTTTTCGCCATCTTTCAAGAGATCAGCATCATGCAATAGCTGCTGCAGATACACAGGGTAGCCATAGACTTCGCAGAAATGCTCTTTCAGAGCTCGGGCATCTTTGATGTCTTCTGACCTCACAGCTGTCAGCTCTTCCCCGGAAGGCCTCTGTATGTGGAGCATTGCTGACGGGAGGTTTTGGGTTTGGGGGCTGAGGGTTTAGGGTGGGTTGCAGGAACATCGCATATTGAGACTTGAGCCGACGGACACTTCGGCGCAAGAAGTCTGAAACCGCATCTAGTCGGGAGCAGGCAGGCCGCATCCGATCATGACGACTCGGGAATCCGAAGTAATTGTCTCAGTCCTGAACCCTGGAGCCCATAGCCCTTTCTGCAACTTCACGCCGCTGTGGCAGAATTAAGCGGGAAGTCCCCATAATAGCACGCCAAATATGCACTCACAAAAAACTCCTAAGAAATTCCCAAGGAATATGCTACCCACTCTCCCGAACACTAAACTTGCATTTTCGTAGCGGCCGAACAACCTCAATGTACCTCAGTTTCAAGACTAGATGTGCATCGGGTTCTAGAGATGTAGAACTTTACTCTAACACCTTGACGCTCTACATACTGGACAGTTCAAGCGCTTACTTCCAGGCTCCATAATCCCCAAGCCCTGCACCTTAAGCCTAACCCCTAAACCCTCATAAACATAACCCCTGAGCCATACACCCCAAATCCTGAGCCCGGTATACGTCCTAAACAGCACAGTCGTAAACCCTACCTCCAAAACCCTGTGCACCCATTTACAAGGCACCGTCTAGGCCTATAGACATCCCCAAACCCGAAACCCTGCCCACAAACCCCTAAGCCTTGAATCCTGAACCCCACTTCCCTTCTAGGGGCCTCGTCGCTGAGGGAGAAATGCTGGGCGCCCTCAGGCCTTAAGCAGAAAAAGCCCCACTTGGAGGATCAGGGGACTTGGCAAGTAAGGTCATAAGTACCCTAATTGGCGTTATAAGTAATTATAACTTTACCTATCTTAAGGCACCGAGTATAAGGGCTCCTTTAGGTCCTTTAAGGGTTTAGGGGCTAGGAACTAGGGCTTAAGGTTCAGGGCTTTTAGTTTTGCTTGTTTTGTTCAATGGTTTTTGGGGTTCTAGGGTTCAGGGTTCACAGCGTCGGGTGTTAACAGCCTGAACCCTAAACGCTAAACCTCAACCCTAAACCGTAAACCCTAAACCCGCGACTCTAAACCCTAAACCCTAAACCCATGGTTCAGAGCTCGAGAGTTTCGGGTGTTTTCAGCTTCAGCATCTACGGTAGGGTTTCACCGGCCCCAAAGACTCCACGACCCTTTGAAGAGCCAGGACTATCCCATTAAATCATACTGAATTACGAAGTTAATGAAGAACAAATAAGATAAATCTGTACATAGTACATATATAGAGAGGTTAATATAGATAGATAGATAGATAGATAAATATAGATAGATAGATAGATAGATAGATAGATAGAAGTTAATATACCCGTTAAGCATCCCTCTATAGTTTAGGCATGTTGCCGAATTCGTGGGTTTCGGAGCCTCTGGGTCTAAGCTTTGCCCACCAAAGGCATCTTCGGGCGAGAAGGGTTTCATAGGGTTGCGGAAAGGTTTTTGGGTGTAGGGGTTTAGGCCCTCAGCCCTAAACCCTAAACCCTCTATATCCTGCATCAACCATAATGAGGAATATACCATAATTCTCATAGGTTAGGGTTCTCAACCTAATGCTTTGTTTGTATCATTAACAGTAGGGTTGCGGAAAGGTTTCTAGGGGTCAAGTCGTGACGCCACCCGGTCGCAACTGAAACTCTTCAACGCTAAGCTAGAAAGCCCAAAGTCCTCCGGCACACAGTGCCAAGTCTACTTAGAGCCTTAAAGCAACCGAAACTCCCAAAGATCTAATGTAGGGGCCATAAAAACTGAAGAGGGTGTTGGGGCCGATTATACTGCAATTTTAGTAAGGCGCCCCCCAAAAATAGTATGGGTAATTATTTCGGCCCCTACATTATAGCGAATATCAACAAACCCACAAGGTATCCACTCCGTTGAAACCTCTAAGCCTTAAACACGCAAAACCTCAAGGCCACGAGCCCTTCACACAGGGGCCTTAGGTTTTGTTTAGGGTTTAGGGTTTAGGGTTTAGGGTAGGGGCCTTAAGAATTTGTTTAGGGTTTTGGACACCTATTACAGTACAATATAACGGGGAACCCCAAAGGAAAAATATCCAAGCTCCTATATTGGAGAAACCCAAACAACTAGTGACAGTGATCCCTTAGAAGCAATATGTATCTATTTATACTGGATCCTAACACCCTGCTCTGGTTGTTGAGGCCCTTATGCCCGAAAGCCTATGGGCCTACAGAACCCTCAAAGGAACCCTTGGAATGAAGGAACCCTTAAAGCAAACCCCTTTAGAACCCCCCTTTCAAAGGAACCGTACGTGGAGGATCCTGGGACTTAGCAAGCAAGGTTATAGGTTTTGGGTTTAGGGGTTTAGGGTTTGGGGTTAGAAATGCTCAGAACTCATAAGTATAGCTACATTTTTACCCTAGTTGATAAGTCCCATGATCATCTAAGTATGGTGGATTCCTCAGTGTCCCTTAGCAGGAACCCTATGGAAATCATTAAGGCCCCTTTGGCCCTGAAGCCCTGCAGGCAGTCGTAGCATACATGTAATAAGAAACCCTGTGTAATATGCCTATTTTGAACTACTGAGGCCCTTGTATTAGGGAGCCTCCCTAAACCGCTACGGCCTTATAGAACCCCGTAAAGGAACCCAACGCTAAACCCTAAACCCTAAACCCTGAACCCTTAACCCTGAACCCTAAAGCGTAATTGTCCTTACCATGATATCAATGAGCCTGGAACCCCTAACGCGGACCCCTGGGCGTCGTGCGCCGGGGCCGATGTCCCGCTCTGGGGCTGAGTCGGGGCGCGGAAGGCTTTCGAGCTCTTATAAAGGTTTAAGCCTTCTCGACTTTTCAATTTTGAGGGTTTAGGCTTTAGGGTTGAGGGTTTAGGGGGGCCTTCGAGCATTTATAGGGGTCTGTGCCTTCTCGACTTTTCAAGATTGAGGGAGTGCCGGGGGGGTGGGGGGATTGGAGGGGTTATTTAGCTAGGGTGTTGGGGCTTCAGGGTAGGCCTCTTGTAGGTGCTTCTGGGCTTTAGGCTCGTGTTAAGGGGATTAGTGCGCAGGGATGGTTTTGAAGGCATAGCCGAAATACTCGTAATGGATGTCCTTTGGATCGTCGTGTAAGTTATTCAATTGTCTCCTTTCGTGTTCACCTTGTACCTGTTTTGTTTGGCTGTGAGCTGCCACCGACAGACGGCAATTACATCCATGCTGCCGTTGATACTGGTGGTCGTGACGTTAGCCCAGTTTGTGGGTACCAACAGAGTGGTAGATGCTCCTTTCTCAGCACTAGGGTGGCGACTACATATGATTAGTTCTCTAAATTAGGGTCCCTTTTTGGGTCCTTATTATAATACGGCACCTATTATTTAGGGTACCCCAAAAGGGACCCTAATTTTGACAACTACCCATATGAGTAGTTCTCTAACTTCGGGTCCCGCTCTACGTCCCCACAATAGTACGGCACCCTTCTACAGAGGACCCT